GACAACATATGTCAAGGTCAAGGTCATTGGGGGGGGCTCCCCTAATCTGCATATTTACCAAAAGTAGAGCTTATGATAAGTTTAATAGCACACAAAAATTCTTCTAAGGGAAGGTAGAAACGTATGTCTTATTATTATTTTTAATAATAAATGTCAACTTCATTATTTTCATTTTAACTTTGTAAATACACATTAAGCATTAACAATCGGCTTGGCTTCTTAGCCTTGTTATAACATTTTATTTGAATTTATTCGTTGGAGCCTATATCGAAATTAAAATTAAAAATTAAATTAATTATTTGAACTAATTCGCGGTTTTGATATAGCTAGATTCAGCGGTCCTCTATGACGCAGTATTTTTGTTGTATGAGGCATTAGGGACTCTAAATGCAAGATATATTGAAAATAAAATAGGTATGTCCATTGATCCAATACAACTTTCTTGTATCGATAAAACTACAATGTATGAAGCAGGGCCTAATATTATCAGTGTTATGCAAGAGGTAAGGAAGAGATTTTTTTTATTACTTCTTATATAACAAAAAAATGGCAATTTGGCTTTAAGTCTTTTAAGAATATACCTATATATACTTCTTATTAGTCTTCATAATACATATTATGAAGAAAGTAATTTAATTAATAACGATTTTCTTACATTTTTAAATACACCTGCATGAAAAATAAATTCTTCAAAATTAGTTTAATGCCACATTAAATTTATTAAATGTGACTGACATAATAACTGCGCTAATGTATCTATTTGAACATAACTGTATTATTCAAATAATGAACATTCAAATAATAAACATTCGCGAAAAGATATTGAAGAATTAATATCAAAAATTTTCATTATTTATTTTTAACATAAGAAAATTAATTTTTTCTTAAATAGATATCAAAGAAAGGAAAGATAACAGGCATTGTGCACATTGATGAATATGGTCGTCGACAATATTTTAATATAAAAATCTTGAACTTTCAACAATCGGGTGTGATACAAATGGGTTATTGGGACTTTGATGGTATACATGTCACACAAATTAAGGAGGAGAAGGATATCTATTTACAGAGATTCATAGAAGAAAAAATATTCAAGATTAGCATAATCATAGTTCGTAGTACTATTTAACATATTAATTATAGCTCTGACATTAAGATTATATGTTGTTAGCCATTAAATAAAAATATATCTTGTTAATTCATTATGTAATTAATAAATTACAAGAGAGAATTTAAAGTTATATTACGTGTTTTTTAGAAAGATATTTTTATAATAAGTTTACAGAAAAGGAGCAAATTGAAAACAATATCATATTTAATAATATTATTTTAATGCTTTAATATAGATATGATTTCTTTTGATATAGAAACATAAATATTGTATATCACGAATAATACCATTAGTGGTATACGTAGTAGCGAACGAGTTAAATCAATGAAGTTACATATATAATTGTTCTACGAGTATTCTCTCTCTTAGCTCTTCTTTTTATTTATTACAGTCAGAATTCGCTAAGTATAAATTATACAACTAAGTATAAATTATACTCTTTTTGGAGATATGAAATATGTAATAACTTCCTCCGATTTAGAAAGCACCCTACATTATGGAAATAACCAATGGTTCAACGCGTGGAGAACTAATTGATGGGAAACGCTATGAAGGTTTTTGCATCGATCTGATTCATCATATCGCAAATATTCTACGCTTTAAAGGGGTAGTTTTCCAATTTGTAACTGATGGATATGGCTCTTACGATCCACAAACGAAGACCTGGCATGGTCTAATTGGGAGCATTTTGAATCATGTAAGTAAAACGTCCTGTATTTTACAGGGAAAAAATAATTTGTTAAAATATCTAAAAATTTTGCTAGATACAAAATCTAAAAATAATTTTGTTAGATTGTCAAAATAATTATATAGAAGGTCTAAGTTGATTTCTGCAATATTAAAACATTTCACAGCATTGCCAATTATGCTTGAGTTTACTACATATCTAATTACTTCGATGGTTCCGAGAAAATTATATTTTCAGATTTGTAATCTAACTAAATTTTTAAATATTTCAACAAAAGTGTACTTTCCGTGCAGAAATTTTTGCTTAAAGAAAAGTTTGTTAATTTATTTCTGTCGCCTCATTTTGGTAACAAATTAAAGTAAAAAAATTTTTTTTATTAAAAGATGAAACAGAAACATGTAAATCAATTAAGTTTGTTTTCACATTATAATTAAATTAATAATAATATTTTTTTTTAATATAATAATCCACCTTTTATTTAAAATTCACGTTAATTATTTACTCCTCCATTTTACAAGATTTTCCTACTTATTGTGATAACAAATAATAGTTCGAGTTTACACTACTTTTCAGTAATCTGTTATTTATGATCTATTTCTTAACAATTTCAGGAAGCCGATCTTGCTATATCTGATTTAACTATAACATCCTTCCGCAAATCCGTTGTGGATTTCAGTTTGCCTTTCATGACCTGGGGTAAATACTGATATTAATACAATACTAACTTATTAAAAAGGATAACACAAAAAAATATTATAATATTGTTATAATTTATTTCTGGGTTACCTAGAATTTATGAGTAATTTATTCATTACTCATAAATTCTAGGTAACCCAGAAATAAATTAAACATGTTAAAATATTGTAAAAATAAATAAAGAAAAGAAATTTAAAATGCCTATTACGGTCGAAGCTGGATTTTCATTGCTTTAAATAATTCAAACTTGAATTACTAATATATACTATATATGTACTTACATATATATTGTAGTCTTTTCCGAACTGCGCGCCCAATTGTTTTTCTGGATTATAAACGCAATTAAAACTACTCTAGTAACCGCAAATTAAATTAACAAGCAATTTATAATAATTTGATGCTACAATCAAGCATCATTATAAAGATGTTAATATGTTGAAAAACTGTAATAATATACAGTTCGAAAAAAACTACAATATGATATATATGTAAGTACATATATAGTATATATTAGTAATTCAAGTTTGAATTATTTAAAGCAATGAAGATCCAGTTTCGACTGTAATAGGCATTTTAAATTTCTAATATTGATTGTATTCTCACATATGCGGTCTAAAAAAAATAAAGATTCTTAAATAAATAAATAAATAAATAAATTTTAGGCTATATTAATGGCATAATTTTGTTTTAAATTAGGTTACAGCATTGTGTTTAGCAAACCGGAAAAGAAAACGCCACCTTTTTTCCCTTTCTTATTGCCTTTATCTACAGAAGTATGGCTGTACATAGTTACTGCTTATCTCGTCGTATCGATAACGTTATTTATCCTGGCAAGGTAAGATTTTTAGAAACAAAATACTTCATAATTTTAAATGTATAAATAAAAATGTAATAAAAAGTATCCTTTTCAAAAAATACTAAATACTATTTAATTCTATAATTAGTAGAATAAACCGTTTAAGAAATGAACTGTTAAAAAAATATGACTTGTATCTCGTAAATTTCAATTCTTTCTTAAGAATGGCACCTGATGAGTGGAACAATCCGCATCATTTATGCAATGCTGATCCTGAAACACTCGAAAATAATTTTAACTTCAAAAACTCGTTCTTCTTAACTATTGGTTCTTTTATGCAACGACATACAAACATACTGCCCAAGTAAGCTTTAATATGATATCATTGCATTATAATTAATAAACATATATTAAATATTGAAGAAATTATTTTTATAACCACAAGAGTTAAATGTTTTAAACTATTACAGTATTTACACATTAATAAAATCACTTTCATTGTAGAGCATCATCTCTTCGCATGCTTGCAAGCATGTGGTGGTTCTTTACTTTGATCATATACAGTTCATATACAGCGAATCTAGCCGCTTTTTTCACTATAGACAAATTGGACATACCTATTAAAGGATTTGAGGACTTGCCCAAACAGACAAAAATTAAATATGGTGCAATACGGGGTGGCTTAACAGCAACATTTTTCCAAGTACATTAGCAGCTTATTTATGATCATATTTTGGCTCAATATAAAAATAACTTACAGATATGATTCAATATTATCTAATTGTAGAATTCGAATTATTCAACGTACAAACAAATATGGGCTGCAATGGCAAACTTTAAACCAAGCGTATTCACATTAAGTCATGAAGAAGGTGCGTAATTCCAAAATTGAACATGCACCACCTATGTGAAAAATACATGAAAAACCTTTTTTCTTCCAAAAGGGTTACATTTTTCGAAAAAAATAAATTTTTTCTTTTTTGAATTATATTTTTCAAAATGTATTAATTTTCTGTTACAATACGTTCCAGGCATCAACCGAGTTCTCAACAGCAAACGACAATATGCCTTTCTCATGGAAAGTGCCGCTATTGAATATAATACGGAGCGCAAATGCAATCTAATTCAAATAGGCAATATGGTCGGAAACAGAGGCTACAGCATTGCTATGCCACGCAGTAATATAACTTCACTACAATACCAATATTTTTTCATATTTCTTTATCTTTATATAAACCATTTCTCTTGCATCTTTTCTGCAGATTCTCCATACAGAACACATATTAACCATGCGATCCTGATATTAACAGAGAGAGGTATACTGCAAAACATGAAGACAAAGTGGTGGAAAAATATGGGAGGAGGTTTATGCAAAAAAGATGAAATGGAAAAGAATACAAGCACATACGAATTAGGGATGGCAAGTCTCGGAGGTGTATTCCTTGTTCTAATATGTGGTTGCAGCGCTTCGTTCTTTATCGCAATTTGCGAATTTCTGTGGAATATACCTAAAGTCGCTGTGACAGAGAAGGTAAATCTTCACTTTACCTTGTTAATTATTAATTTTGTGATAAATATTATTAATAAAGTGTAAATTAATTTTCTTCCTTTTAAGGAACACTCAAAAACTTAATGTACAATATAAAATTTCTTTCTTTTTATTGTAAATTGTGAAACAAAATTCGTGAAGTATAATACGCGAATTTTAACTATATGTATTTTAATAAGTTAATTACTGCATCGTCATATCATTGCAATATACTAAAGAGGAACTTAATTATCATCTTTCGTACAGATCACGTCGTGGGAAGCGCTAGTTGCCGAGTTGAAATTCGTCGTGAACATCTTCGCAATAAAGAAACCCGTTAAAATTGCCAAGAGCAGCAACAGTAACATAAGTTCCAGAGAGGGTGGACTTGATAGAGCTGTATCCAAGGCTTGATCTATCATTGATAGATCTATCTTTTTTATGTGGTATTCGGTATTATGGTCAGCTATTATGGTAAAAACCAGAAATAGAAATAAATATGTGTATGATTATGAAATTAATTAATTATTTCTAAGGGTATTTAACTACGAATTTTTTAAATAATACAGGGACACCTATATTGAAAGCACTAATTCATTAAATAAATATTCATACATATAAATAAGTAATGTATAAGTATTTGTAAAGATGTATATTAAGCACAGATCGATATATTTACTGAGTCAAACGACTGTGTGAGTCACTCATCTCTGTGTGTATACCTCTTTTCTGTAATATTATTTTAAAATGTTAAAATACCATCTTGTATAACAGTTAACATAAGTATAATTCACTGACAAGCAAAAATCAGATTTGCTTCATCAACTGTAGATATTCAGACTTCAATTGAGTCGATTAAGAGATCCTTAATGAAAGCATGCATGCTTTAAGATTTAACAAAAATAATTTTATGACATTTTCATTTCTAAGTAAAACACAGATTAAAAGTACATTTATAACTTTTTAATGAGTAACGTCCGACGGTTAAAACTTTCTCAAAGTCACTCAGGGTCATGACTTTGATAACATATGTCAAAGTCAAGGCCATCGGGGGACTCCCTTAATCTATATTTACCAATCGAAGAATTATAGCATATGCCATCTGAAGAAACATATCTTGTAAGTAAATTCACCATTGTGTTTTACAGATTTTTTACTAAAATGGATTCATGACACACACAGTTTTCGATTACATTCATTTTATTAACAACACGCATGGCCTGACGCGATAAATAAAAATCGATAAGCAGTGATCATCTAAAAAACTAATAAAGTTTAGAAAGCATACTGCTTATGTATGGAAGTTTTGTGAATGTTTAAAAGTGGATCACCGATGGCAGTAGTGGGGGTAGAAATCGAGTAGAGTGAGGGTCAGATAAATGGATGAACGTTCTTTCTCTGTTTACTAAAGCCTGATTGGTTGCTGTTGATCCAGCAGTACTGCTATATGTATAATTTTAGAATACTTTAAACATTGTCAATTTTTTATTCTTGGGATATATATATATATATGTAAAATGTTATCAAATAAAATCGCATTCAAGCATGATAATAATTTAAAACGGGACGAGAATTATTTTTTAAGGTCACAGAAATTCATGTGTAAATTGAAAAATAAAAAGAGTTTATCAAAAAGGCTTTACATTACATTTTTATTCTATAATAATTTTAGATATATTCTTAATTTATTATATACTTAATCGATATTGTATTATTTTTCATATATAGCTTGCAACTTACTTGAGAAAGGTGTGGTAGCCATTTTTGGACCTATAAGTAAGGCATAGGGTCTAAGCAGATGACCATCTGAGTCATGGAACGTAAGTCGTAGTTGTAGGTTGATCATAATTGTGCGTTGACCTACGACTACGACTCACGTTTCACAACTCAATTATGATCATCTTTGTACCGAAGCCTATACTCGTGGTATAGTTGCAAGCATTGTAACTCAATTTAATATACAGCACATCGATAAATTTTATGCCAATAGCCTCGGGACTCGAAGGGAAGGCGTTCAGTATCGATCTGACCGCGAATTTAATATGCCGATCGTAATAATCTACTCTTTTATTAACGACGCAATTGGCTTTAGTTAGAAATTGAATATAAGCTTGACTTTACAAAGCCTACGATGAGAACGCCTCGATCACAGATTTGAATGGCTCGCGATAAATAGCGGAATGCGCCCGCAACACATGTTTTTTGTTGTAATCAGAAGCCGACGAATTTATTTTACATGAGGTCAGCCAGCTAGGCGCCATAACTTTGTAGTTACAGTAGCCGACTCATTAATCGCCCGTCGCAGTCGTAATAAGCCCTTAATCTTCTCGCGGGTCCGCTACCTGTGAGTAACTGCCGTTCCGGAGGCGTCGTAAACCCTGTGAATCTTGAATATCTTGAGAAATTCTGCATCTTTGGGTGGAGAAGCGAACACGAGGAAAAGTGTATACGAGTGTTCCACCAGATAACTAATCATGATAATTAATTCATTTAATACAGTAAAATCTCTGTGGTCACGCCGGACTGTATAGTGAATTTGACTCACGATCGAGTTCATGTGAGCAGTATACCTTTAAGATCTTTCGCCGCGAGAGATCTTCTTACAAGTTTGCTCAATAATATACACTACTTGTCTTATATTTGAAGTTTACCGCAGGACCAATGGCAAAAAACTTCAAGAACACGAGAAAAAAAAATGTCTCCTCCTAAGTTGCGTACGGTGTCAGCGTACGCAACTTAGGAGGAGACATTTTTTATTGATTTTTTCTCGTGTTCATGAGGTTCTTTGCCGTTGATCCAGCGGTAAACTTCAAATATAAGACAAATGTATATTATTGCGCAAACTTGTAAAAAGATGTGTGCGGTGTATAGCGAAAGTGCAAAGAACGCATGTGCCAGAAGTGGTTGCGAGATTTCGTTCCGGAGATTTTTCAAAATGCTTCTTTGACAGAAATAAAACACAAAGTCTTTGAGCAAGGGATTATAAAATTGTTCGAAAGATACAGCAAATAGTGAATCACAACGGCTAATACATTCTTGACTAAAATTATTGTCTTCTACAAAGAAATTGTCTGTCATTCATAGGTAAAAAATCGCACGAAATTATCGGTCAATCCAATACTATGCTGCATGCAACTTCATATATAAAAGTAAAGAAATTTTTATTTATTTTTTATACCGTTAATTTACATATTTTTAATCAATGCTTCTGTTAGATAAAGGAAGATGTATTTAGTGCATCAGTTTACATTTTTAAAGTATCTTTCAAGCATTAGAGAGATGTTTTCTCGACATATTTTTGATATTTTATCTCGTGAAATCATAATTCATTTTGGTAAACATTTTTTTTAGAATTTTTCAAAATGTTTATGTAAAATTCAAAATTTCTTAACAATTTTATAAGTTTTTAAAAAATTTCTCAAACTTTTCATACAAACTGGAATATTTTTCAGAAATGCCGAGAAAATCCCTATATATATCTTTTTTAGAATTCTTTATATATGTAAATTCTAAAATATTCTAAGATTTCTGAAATTTCTTATTCTCTCTCTATACTTTCGGATAAAATCTTACAAAATCTGAAAAAGTTTAAGATATCCTTTCAGAAATTATAGAAGGAGAGAGAGAGAGAAATCTTAAAAATTTTTAAATACTTCAAAATTCATATACCTGAAAAACTCTAAGAAAAGATATAGATTTTCCCAATAACTTTGAAGAGTGTTTCAATTCGTATGAAAATTCTGTGAAAAATTTTCACCAATTCACTTATGTGATAGACAAGAGCAATAATATTAATTCTGTAAATTTAATTTTTAAATGTTCTGGATATAATGTTTTGTGCAAGTAGATAACAATATATTCGTGATTGATTCATTAGGACTCTCCAAAGCAAGTTCGCTCCAAGGATTAATTACAGATCAATCATGAGCGGTGTCAAAGTATTTTTCTCAAACGAGATTGTGTATTGACGCTTAGAATGATACATCGGGAAATATGCGCGAAGCCGACAAACGAGATTAATCGTCGCCGAATACGGTGGGTTGTTGCACTCGCAATTAAAAGTACGTTAATAAAGCACCGGAGGCAAATCGTTTCGCGCTCAGCGGAATGTGAAAGTAGATAAGTCGCCGCAACTAGTTGTGTACCTCGTGCCGGTCTCGATGGCGAGCGGCAAACCTCATTATCGATTTCCAACTTAATTGAGGTTGGTTTCGTTAACGGATTACAGCCAGATCGGTTCCGCAAACCAATTCAACGTTCGGAGCAAATGTCATTATCACGATCAACAACTTACGGGCAAGCTTGGCTGTATGTATGTGCCAATTAAAATGCCACCTTCAAACTGGTGACCGCCGGACTTTACTTTTTCATCATCGCGCGTAATCTCCATCCATAAATATCGATAAGATCAGCGCGAGCGATCAAACCGGATGATTACATAGCAATATCACGTTATGCAAGCTCTGACTTTTAAACTGTCAACGTCGTTGAATTTTACGGCTTAATTTAAAAGATAATAAATCAAATTCTTGTCATGATGTAATTAACTAATAATGTTACAAAGGAAGTGACTATCACCGAAAAGAAAACACATATTAATATACTTATCCCTTTAATAATTATCCTGAAATAACCGCAGCTGGCCGGAAACTTGCGGCCCACGCAACGGTATACTCGTTATTCTCATCGTTTGGCCGTGAAAAAATATCAAAATATACTTTCTATCATCGTAACGTAGCCGTATATCAGAAAAGTGGATGTCGTATATTAGAAGGCACGGCAAGCGGCGATGGCGTTTCTCGAGATGGCGTGACTCCAGCGCTATCGCATGGCAACCTTGCCGTGCATTATCGCCGATTAATAAGCCCTACGTTCTAAGAAAGCACCTCGGGGTTACGTACTTACTCGACATGCATCCCGCGTTCATGGATCATCGCCACGAGGGAGAGGAAGAATTGCCTCGGTCTTTAACATCGCGCACTCATCTCTTTTATGTGCGAGAAAGAGAGGGAGGGAGGGAGGGAGGAAGAGAGAAGGAAGAGGGTGGAAGGGAAGTGGGGCTGATCGCGGAACTTACAGACACGGAGAGATGATTTCGAGTTTCCTTCGGGAATCTCCCGACAATGTACGTTAACCCGTCTCACGACCGGCAATTTGCAAATTTCCATTTCGTTCCAGCGCAGCTGCTTCGCGAGAGAACTCGGCATCTAAACCGATCCTGCGTAACCTGCATATATATGTAATTCCTATCTACGCAATAACGAATTGGAGTAAGTTTACAAGATGAAAATATACAAAATACGTACGGAAAAAAGTTTTGCTGAAGTATCTAAAAATTTAGCTAGATAGTGATCTGAAAATAATTTTGTTGGAATTATGGACCATCAAAATAATGTAGAACGCTGGAATGTCAA